TTGATCCGAAGGGTCTGTTTCCATGCTGTACATCTCTATAACTCTATAGAAAATAAACCAGCAAATGAAAATGCATTTACAGTAGGATAGGAAGCAACACAAATGTATTTGATACAATGCACAGAGAGCAGTAACAACTGTACTATGACAATATAACAGTTAATGAGTCAATATGCAACCTCAGCATTGGCAGACTGTAAGGGTATTTATTTAGGATTACAGGTCATTTTGAAAAATGGCACAAATAAAGATGCCTGCAAATAATAAAACAAGAAGTGTTCATGACATGATGCAAATGGGACACACACAGACAACTTTGCTAATTGTTGGCGTTACCACTAACTTTTTCTGCACCTTCTTGTATTTAGTACATGTACCAACACACAAAACATAAACAGCTGAGCATCTGGAATTTCTAAAAATCTCCAAGTTAAAAGTTAGCACAAATAGCCAATCACACTTCCTTACAGAACAATCATACAATCACAGTCTCATGGCAGGTTATTTGGCTTATTGTGTCTCTGAAAAAAAACTACCCAATCAATCAATTTCACTCCCTAATGTTGCAATTAGTTTTCTTTACAAATGCACTTCCAAATTCTTTAAAAGCTATGATGAAACTGGTTTCACCACCCATCCTGACACTATTCCAGATCATAACAAAACATAAGAGTAAAAGGATTCTCTCATATCTCCTCTAGTTCTTCTACTATTCAACTATGATTTAACATTTTTTTCTACCAACCACCATCAAAATATGGACATTTATAAAATGTTGAATATTAATAAATGTACATGAAATAGGGAACCAAGCATAATTTAAAAACTACTTGCATATAAAGCCTAAAAGATAAGATTTTGTTAAAATGTGCATAAAGTCGATTTTGCATTCACTACCAGATTTGATAAAAATAGATTTGTAACAGATATGCGATAAAGAAAAGAAGTGTTGATAGAGGATTTAACATGATAAACCTCTTAATTTCTAAGACAGGCCTGTTATTTCAAAAAAATAATTATTAGAACAAAACCTATACTACTGCTTCAATGGTAGACCCATTGTCTTGGACCATGCTACTTTGGGTAATCTACATCTGTGACCTGAAAGTGCTGGGAGAGGATCCTGTGGTGCATGTTAAGAGACTGCTTCTTGTACGTTTCAACTCAGTAATGGTGCGCACCATAATTTGCTGTAAATGAGAGTTTAACAATTTGGTAAGGGCAATGAAACATCTTGGAATGTAAAGAAAGGTTGATCCATCAGTCTCTCTCATTAAACTATGATAACAGAGACTTTGAAAACAGGACTGAGAAGAAGAAGGTGAATTAGATGAAATCAAGCACGGAAATATAAGAGAGTAGATCGAGAGCAAAATAAGTTTCAAAAAAGAAACAAAAACAAAACTGTAAAAAAAAATTCTTAAAATCTCTCAATTTACCAACCACAAAGTCAACAATGCTTACTTTCCCTGGGCCAGAGACATTGATTGGTTTTGCAACAACAATTATTATGTTGGTATGACAAGCTCCAACTCTAAATTTCTGCGGTGCATTTAAGGGAGATTAATGTGCAAATCCAACAAGTGCTTCAAAGTCACAGAGATCAAAGGCAAAATGCTGTTCGTGTAAATCGCAATACACATTTTACTTCTGAAACGATCAATTTACAGATTAATAATGACATGCGTCATTTTTTTTCCCCCAGCAAGGTGCTATATATTTACTTTTTTTTCTGGTAGTTTACATAACAAGCAGGGAAAAAGGAATTACATTAGTATATTGGTACAATGAAACACATTTAATAACTGGGAGCTAACTGTTCTATTCCACATTCTAGTAAACAAGAAACAGCCAAGAGGCCTTTTCTCCTTCATGCATTTTTTAATTAAATTTCTAATGCATTAATAAATAACATGAAATTACAAGTCAGAAGCCTAGCTGATTTAAGTTAATTTCAGCCTGAGGTGAATGGGTTAAAAGTTTCAACATACGTTAACACTGAAGTTGAAAAATGCTATCAACCACAATTCAATACAGTGCAGTGAAATGAGCTTTATGCCATGGCAGGAGCAATATGAAATGATGTGTACCAGTGCTGAATGACGTAAACTGGATAGGGTAAACTACTTTCTTTTCTCAATGCACAGGTGTAGAAACAAAGCACTGAAATAATCTGATCAATCTCCCAAAGTGGGGGTCCCAGATACGGCTCTCAGTGTCACGGCCAATGATGAAGGTACAATTTCAACCAAGAACCCAAACTAAGAACTGTTGCAATGAAAACTGTCAACCTAGCACCTATACACTTGCCATCATTTGAGTTCAGTTAGCAGATGAATTTGCAAATCAAACAGTGTCTCAGAGCTTCAATTTTAGATTTACAGCAAATTTGCATTGCAATATTGCGGACAATAACACCACAGCATAATCACTGCACAGCAGTATACATTTCAAACAGTTAATCACTTTGTTGTCTGTGCAATATGAAAAGGTCTTTTATATCTGTGCACCTCACTAGATAGGAGATTCAAGTTTCCTTTTAGCTAATTCCAACTTAAGTTTTATTAAAATATTTACTGCAACCATCTCTGGCAACTCAAATTAGCCTTGTGTAAACATTATTCATTCCAAACATTTGAAAAATCGAAGCAATATTGTACATTTATGTCATCAAGTAGTATTTTGGTCAAACCTACTAAATGCATGAAACAAATAGATAGGGATTCAAAAGTTTATTACTGATGAATTTTAGGGCAATTTCACACAGGAACATTGGTTTCAATTTACTGTTCTGCTGTGATACTAACATCAGATGTTACCAATTTTAGGGCTCCCAGCATCTGGTGGTTTGTCTATTGAACCTGACTGCAGTAAAAAAAAAGTGCACTCTAGAATTCAAATACAGTACAGATAGAATACAGTAACTGAAATGCTGGTTCAGTTTCTTTTTACACTGGTTCGAGATAACTTTTTTTTGTCCCAATGTGCCTAGTTTTAACCATGTAATAGGCTAGGTTACCAATTAAGTAGTAAAGATAAACAAACTATCACATCTAGATTTAACTAAATTGGATGGAACTGAATTCCAAGTCATCAAATTTCCACATTTTTGTCTAGACTTGCACTGTGTAATTTTCAAACACTGAAATTAGACACTATATGCAGAATGAACTACAACTTTCCCCTGTCCACATCAATACACTGTGGCAGTTTCTAACTGCTCCCAACAAAACATGAACCGCAACATTACTTCCAATGGGGATCAAACTTTACTACTTAGATCATAGCAAACTCTACGCACCATTATCTTACAATTTCAACAACTTTACACTATCACCTCTCAGCTGTTCAAAGAATCTACTTGGAATTGCAACGGCTTAACAATTAACATCCACACATATAGTGTAAATATTTAACCAAAAATATAATTGAAATGCTATCAGCTGAAGATCTTGTTTGTTTACAAAAGCCTCTCAACTTTTACCTTAAAAGTGCAGGTCAGAGTTTCAAGGACACTAGGTGTCACCTTCATATCAGTGGTAGTGATCTCACCAAGTTGGAAGCATGCGAGTTCAAGCCGCACTCAAAACTCAAACAGACTAATACAGTGCTCAGGGAGTGCTACACTAATCAAAAGTGTTAACTTTCTGTTGAGATGTAAAACGGAGTTCCTTATGCCCTCTCGTGTACATGAAAGGCCCAAAAGCACTATTTTGAACAGCGAGTTCTCCTGCTGATCAGGGCAATATTCATCACTGAACCAATGCCCATTAAAAGAGAACTAGTCATTCACTTGACTACTCTATGGGATCTTGTTGTGCACAAACAGACCACCTTGTACTTCCCACTTCAGTAATGAATATAGTGCAAAGTTATTTAATTGGTTTTGAATTGTGTTCCATAATGCAGACTTTAATCATTGTAGTTGCACACAAAAGTATGTTTGATTTTAACTAATTCTTTGTTAGACAAAGTGCAACAATATCAGGATTCCTAACTCTTGTAATAGCCAGGTAACTTTAAGTTTACAACAGCTTCTGTGATATAAGATCTCATTCAAAATAAAACATGGCAGTTGAAACACTAATTGCTAATTTAGTAATATTTTGCTATGCTTAATCTTTGAGTGGAAGAAAACAGACTAAACAAAAATGGATTTCATAGTACAGTTTCTACTTAAAAAGTGAAATGCAGAAACTAAAAGACACTTTTACATAGACAATACAAAATTGCTGAAAGCCATGGTGTACAACAATATTTGGTTATTATTAGTAACAATTCCTCCCTATACAAAATATCAAATGTGTAAAACTGTTAAAAATTATCTAACTTAGGCTTAGGTGAAAGTGACAACATCATTTAAACTGTGGAGAAAGAACAGGCAAGGAAGGAAGAAAGAAAACATCCATTGGAATAACAAAGAAAATCATAGCATAAGCATTCCAAAATTGTTCACACCTTTGTCAAATACCCATGTGAAGATTTTTTAAACAATCTTCCAAAATTGATCAGTTATGTCCAACACCAAAAAAAGTTATATAGTACAAAAAATATTCAACAATTCAGATCACGAGTGCATTAGAACTTTACCTGGTCAGAGACCAGAGTATGTCAGCTCTGACTGAAGTCTCTTAATAGCAGCAGCCCTCTGCAGCACCTCACTGCTTTCATTACAATGTCATTAGAAACAACAGCACGACGAGAGATAGAAACACAAGTTGTAGCTATTATTTTTTAAAAAATGTATTCTACTAAAAAAAAAGCATACTTCCAGGACATCCCAAATGAGAAAGTGATGCTGTTTCCCCCATCTCCCCCACCGTCTCTCTTACGCGAGTCCCAGGCTTTTCTGCGGCCTAGTCCAAGGGAAACACACCCAGAGCCAGCGCCACCAAACAGTGGCAGGGGGTCATTTATTTCCAATAACGATGACTAACATTCTAAAAAACCTTTTAGGGTGACGAAGGTTGCATTTTGTGCGTGTTTTTTTTCTTTGTTACCTGCCGTATATCCCCTCGGTGATTCTGTTCCGTTTTAACGGCCTCCTGATCTTGCTGCAATCAGCATTGCGCCTCTTCATTGTCCTTCGCTGCCTTTCCCTTCTTCAGTACAGTTTCCTTCTCTTTATTTTTTTCAAATAAATGTTAACATAACAAATGGGGGAAAAATAAATTAATTCCGAATAACGTTAAATTCTGAAAATAACATTTTCCCCCTCATGCCCCCCCTCCTCTCGCCCTCCATCCGCTTTCTTCTTCTTTCAAACAAAGAATTAAATCAAATGAAACCAACCCCTTTCGGTCCAAGCCAATATTTTCTCTCGGTCTCAGGCTCTTGGCTGGCGGTGGGGGGAGGGCGGGACTTAGGCCGCTTGTCTGGCCTTGATCACTATTGATGAACGCCAGCCGCTGACCAATAGGAGACGGCTGTTTCTGATTGATGTGCAAATGCACCAATCATCCGCGGATTCCCTAGGGCAGTACCGCTGTCAATCAGCCGAGGTGACCCAATAGTCAGACGTAAAGGGCGGGCACTGGGAGACGTCAAGCGGACGGAGGGAGGAGGGAGGGTTGGTGTTGTGGGGAAGGGAAGATCGAGAGGTTCGCGCAAGCGCAGTGACCGCGGAGCGTCACACAAACTTAGTGGGCATGATTGGCGCGGAAGCTGAGCAATCGCCGCCTCCCGAACGGCGTCCGTCCTGTCACCTGCTGCCAATCCGCAAAGGGCAAGTGGGTGGGCAGAGGGCAGCCGCCAGGTTCGGTTGCGGTGTGTCGCTGGGAGGCGCAGTGCCTGGGCTTCCACGTATGCAGGTCGTATTCAAGTTACAGGCCAGGATCGGGGAGGAGGTGGGATAGAATCTAATGTTGAACTCGGCAATTTTAAATCCACTTCATTCCTTAAATAGGAAACGAAGATTCATGTGTTGGTTAATTACAATGAAATTTATAAATACTTTATTTTTCAGAGCAATCGCTCCCAGCATCCGATCCAAAAGTGGCTTCCCTGCGTCTGTTAAGCAAGTACAGGAGCTAAAAAAACCTTTGTCAAAAAGCACCTTGCAAACTGCCTTTGTTCACCAAATACTTAGATGAGCTTTCCGAATTTATATTAATTGCGCAGAATAGTGCTTTAAAAATAATATGTAATAATTGTAACTCTCCAACTCGCCCTTGTTTTAAAGGTGAAACCCACATTCCAAACCAGCGTCTGTGGTTTTAATCTGTGCATTTTCAAGTGTGGAATGCAATTTTCTACATCAGCTACCAGAGCTAATGCCACATCTTTATTTCGTTAGCAGTTGTTATTGATTTTATTCAGGATGGGCAGACACCAAAGCTGAATTCGAACTTATTCTATGGGTGCTGCCTCAGGATTGCGCATTCTGATTTGTGATCATTCAAATGACACAGGACTACACTTTGTCACTGTGATGCCATGTGATTATTTCGGATGCACCCAATATGCATATCCATGGCTGGAAGTTCGGAGTTCCCTGAGGAGCCATTGTATGGCTTCCATAAATAATTTTTTAAAAATGTTTTTCTTTCTTTTGCAGTCAACTGTTATGTTACTCTTGCAATGTGCGTCAGTTACTTTTTTTCGCACTGCATCTGTCACAATTTGCTTAACAAATTTTATATACATTTTCCCCTTGCTCTCTTTCTGTTTTTCTTTGTTACTTTCTTTTTGAAATCTTAGATGTCTGAGGAAATGAGTAAGCTGTGACCAGAATCTGCAACCTACAGAAGTAGGTGGAGTCGGCATCTAACAGTGAGAAATGGTAGAATCATCAATAGAAACGTGTGTTTGGCCTGCTGGACTTGAAAAATGTTGGAATGAAATTTGGGCAGGCTTTGATTACAAAAGCATAGAAAGATGTGGGTGAAGGAATTGATTTGAAAAGTGTAGACCAAATTTATAAGGAGGTTAGGAAAACTTAGCAAATTATAGAATTTTGTATTTATTAATTATGTAGTATACTGGATGAGGAAATGTAATACTCACTTATAAAGACGGCCTTTAATTATAAATTATTTGATTGCTTCAAGATGTCAGCTGGTTAACATGGACTAATATTAGCACCTGATGCACATGTAGCAGTCAGCAATATTAAAGGATAGGATTTTACAATCATACACAACAGGAACTGAGTTCCAGGTCGTATTTGACTCCTATAGATTATGAGAAGATGGGCCTTTCACTATGGGAAAATAAATTATTCTTCCAACAATATTCCATAATACAACCCCTCCCACCATCTTTTAAGATCAACTGCAAAGTCCTGGAAAGTGTTCTCCATCCTCCATATCTTCGGAGCCTTCCCTTGACAAAGACCAACACAGACAACAAAAATTATCAAAAGTTCTAAGGATAAGTAAATGGGAACTCCACCTTAAAACTAAAGTCAAGGTTTACGGACCAGTGATTCCCACATTCCTGCATGCTTTGGAGATTTAGACAAGTTTCAGCAGGCACCTCAAGGCACTGGAAGAGTACCATCAGTGGTGCCTTCGCATAATCCTCCAAATCTGATGACGAGGCAGACAGTCCAATAGCAGTATCCTCTGCCAAGCCAACATGGCCAGCATTGAGGTGCTACTCACTCAAAAGCAGTTATGTATGATGTATCATTCATATGCCTGACACCAGACTTCAGAAGCAACTGTTCAACTTTGAACTTGATGGTGACAGGACACACCTGGGAGAACAGTACAATCTGTTGAATATGTGCTCAAAGTATCAATGAAGAAATTAAACATCCCCGCTCAAAAGAGGTCTTGGCTTGTGACCAACGAAAGTGATTTATTCAAGAAGGCATTGAATATATAGAGAAATATCATTGGGAGCATGCAGACACAAAGCTGAGGCATCGGAGGAGAGCACAAACCTGCATAATCCTAATCTGCCTGACCCTTCAAGCACCACATTTCTCACAGTATCCACAGGTCCTATAGGATCTGTGGAGGATCTACAAATCACACACTGAATCTGTCAACCATCTCAGAACCCATTGAATTATAGTGCAAACAAGTCATTTTTGATCTAGAAGGGCTGCCTAATAAGAAGATATCACAACAGGCACACAGACACAAGATAAATACTGACCAACACTATTGTTCTGTTTGTTGGTACACTATGTATCAAACTGAATAAACCTGAAATGATTTTCTGAAACTTCAGGAAACCTAAATCAGCTGTGAATTCCCAGCCAGTTCAGATGTTTTTCATCCTTAGCTGTTAGTTGAGTCTTCGCTCATAAAATTTTCCTCTAGTTAGAAAGTTTGCAGTTATGACAAAAATGAGGGACTGTAATGTTTTTCACCTTTTTCCAGTACTAATGACACTGGTCAGTCCCTGTCATCTTTATGTAGGCTGAGGATTTTCAGAGCTTTCTCAGATGAGCAAAAATGGGAGCTGAGAAAAGCAGACTTAAAAGGTATGTCCCAAGTTCTTTGTTGATTGGAGCGTGTCTAGCAAAAGTTCTGCATGTGTGTCCCTTCTATTGTTCCTAGGGACTGAAGCCAGGGATCCACAAGAGTCCTTGTTGCTGCTGATGGGCAGCAGCCGCATGGCCTCAATTATGGCAGGTGTTAACAGTCTTGAAGGCTTCGATAGGCTAATAGCAGTCATCAAAATTTCTGCTCCACATCTAGACATTTGGCTTAGACACAGGGGCCTGTGCCAATTAGGAACGTGGTTTAGCCCACCAAGTTCAGATTGAGGAAGGCTTGGCAAGGTGAAGTGCAGAATTGTGCTGAAGATCCAGGAAGATTCATCCCAGTGTTTTGTTTTTTAAAGTTAAAATTAAATAGACAGGTATTTCCTTATTAGTAAATTATATTTCAATTTTGGAATGTTTTACTAACATAATGTAGATCATAATATGTGAAGATTTTGTTGTTTTCAACAAAACATTACTGAAATAAAACACTGTAATATTAATTTAAATATCCTGGGCAAATAGTAATGTGTAAATATTTACTGTGTTTACATGACATTGTCATCTGTTTTATTTAAACAGATATATATATTTTGAACAAATTGGAACGAGAAATTTAATATGATTGCATTAAAATAATATTTGTAAAATATAATTTCAAGGTTATCATTTACCAATTTAATTCATGCTCCCAAAAACATTTAAAATATTGATGATTTCTGACACGTGCTGCCAGGCAATGTCTAATCCACTGTCATTTCAGCTTGGGACATGCTGTGTAGACATAGCTAAGGCTGATTGTTTGCAAATAACTAGGAATATAATATTTCACAAAGTAACTTAGCACCTCATTAATCTAAATAAAAGCAAAAAGAACTGCAGATGCTAGAAATCAGAAACAAACAATAGAAATTGCCAGAAAAGCACAGCATGTCTGGCAGCAACTGAGTTATGAGGAAGGGTTACTGTACCTGAAATGTTAACTCTGATTTCGGTCCACAGATGCTGCCCAACCTGCTGTGCTTTTCCAGCAATCTCTGTTTTTGGACCTTATTAATCTATATTATGTTACTATAACTGTTGGATGTTATAATACTGTTTTAAACTGTACCTTTTAATTCAAGGTAAAATACAGCAGTTGATAGAGGGAAATGGAGGAATGTCTCCTGAGAGTCAAGCTCACGCAGCTTCATACTAATTCTGCCTGAGCCAAGTCTAAGTTATGGCAAGCCTAGTGGTATTTATGCTAAACTATTAATCCAGAAACTGATGTTCTGGGGACTTGAATTGAATCCTGCCAAAGCAGATGGCAATTTGAATTTAATTAAAAATATCTGGAATTAAGAATCCACTGAAGATCATGAAATCATTGTCAATTGTCGGAAAAATCCATCTGATTCACTAATGTGAAATCGGCCATCCTGACCTGGTCTGGCCTACATATAATTCCAGATCCACAGCTATGTGGTTGACTCTCAAGTGCCCTCTGATATAGCCAAGCAAGCCACTCAATTGTATCAATTGCTACAAAGTCTCAAAGAAATGAAATTGAACAGACCATCTGGCATTGACCTAGACACCGGAAAAGACAATGGCAGAAACAGCCCTGTCAACCCTGCAAAGTCCTTCTCACTAACATCTGGGGACTAGTGCCAAAATGTGGAGAACTGTCTCAGAGACTAGTCAAGCAAAACCTGACATAGTCATACTCACGGAATCATGTCTTACACACAATGTCCCACATCTCACCGTCGCTATCCCTGGATATATTCTAGCCCACCAACAGGACAGACCCAGCAGAGGTGGCGGCACAGTGGTGTATATTTGAGAGGGAGTTGTGCTAGGAGTCCTCAACATCGACTCTGGATCCCTTGAAGTCTTGTGGCTTCAGGTTAAATATGGGCAAGGAAACCACCTGTTGTTTACCATGTACCATCGCCCCTTGGCTGATGAATCGGTATTCCTCCACATTGAACAACGCTTGTATTACAGCAGTTATTACTGATCAAGCAGGTCAAGTCCTAAAAGCCCTAGTTACAGCACTGGATCTACAGAAGGTAGTGAGGGGACCAACAAGAGAGAAAAACATACTCAACCTCATCCTTACCAGTCTACTGGCTGCATTTACATCTGGCCATGACAGTATTGGTAAGATTTGATCAATGCACAATCCTCATGGAGACGAAGTCCCGCCTTCACATTGAGAATAACCTTCATCATGCTGTGGGCACTGCTGAATGGGACAGACTTTGAACAGATGTAGCACCTCAAGACTGGGCAGTCAGGAGGTGCTTTGGGCCATAAGCAGCAGTAGAATTTTACTCCAGTGCAATCAACGCTGGTTCAATAGAGAGTCCACGAGGGCATGCCAGGAGCAGCACCAGACCTACTTAAAGCAAGATGTCAAACTGGTGAAGCCACCAACAAGACTACTTGCATGCCAAACAGCATAAGCAGCATGTGATAGACATGTGATAAGCGAGTCCATAACTAACAGATCAGATCTGTGCTCTGCATCCTACCACACTCACAGTCGCAAATGCTGGTGGACAAATAAACAACTCACTGGTTCCATAAACATCCCCATCCTCCAATGATGGAAAAGCCCAGTACATCACTGCAAGGCTGGAGCATTCGCAGCAATATTCAGCCAGAAGCGCTGAGCGGATGATCAGTTTCGGTCTTGTCCAGTGGTCCCCAGCATCACAGATACCAGTCTTTAGCCAATTCGATTGACTCCACATGATGTAAGGAAACGTTTGGAGACACGGAATACTGCAAAGGCTATGGGCTGTGACAACATTTCAACACTAGTACTGAAGACTTGTGCTCCAGAATTTGCCACACCCCTAGCCAAGCTTTTCCAGTACCATAATAACAATTGCCTCTACCCCACAATGTGGAAGATTGCCCAGGTATGTTCTGTACATAAAAAGCAGGACAGATCCAACCTGGTCAGTTCCTGCCCCATCAGTCTACTCTCGATCATCAGTAAAGTGATGGAAGGTGTCATCTGTAGTGTTATCAAACAGCATCTGCTCAGTGATGCCAAGCTTGGGTTCCGCCAGGGCCACTCAGCTCCTGACCTTATTACGACCCAGGTTCAAACATAGACAAAACAGCTGAATTCCCTTGAGAGCCCTTGACAACAACCAATTAAAAAGGCCACATTCAACTGGGTATGGCATCAATGAGCCCAGGCAAAACTGGAATCAATGGGTATCAGGCAGCAAACTCTTTGCAAGTTGTAGTCATACCTAGTACATAGAAAGATAATTATTCGGGGTCAGTAATCTCAGTTCTAGGACATCAATGCAGGAGCTCCTCAGGGTAGAGTCCTAGGCCCAACCATCCGCAGCTGCTTCATCAATCACCTTCCCTCCAGAGTAAGGTCAGAAGTGGGGATGTTCCTGATGATTGCACAATGTTCGGCACCATTCGTGACTCCTCAGATACCGAAGCAGTCCATGTTCAAATGCAACAAGATCTGGACAATATCCGAGCTTGGGCTGACAAGTGGCAAATAACATTCGCACCACACAAATACCAGGCTATGACCATTAGGAGGCAATCTAAACATCATCTCTTGACGTTCAATGGTGTTACCATCACTGAATCCCCCACAATTGGCCAGAAACTCAATGGGACTCGCCACATAAACGCAGTGGGGACGAGCAGATCAAAGGCTAGGAGTACTGTGGCAAATAATTCACCTCCAGCCTCCCCAAAGTCTGTTCATCATCTACAAGGCACAAGTCAGGAATGTGATAGAGTACTCCCCGCTTGTCTAGTTGGGTGCAGCTCCAACAACGGTCAAGAAGCTTGACATCATCCAGGATAGAGCAGCCTGCTTGATTAGTACCAGATCTACAAGCATCCACTTCATACATTATCAACGCTCAGTAGCAGCAGTGTGTTCTATCTACAAGATGCACTGCAGAAATTCACCAAAGGTCCTCAGACAGCACATTCAAACCCATGACATTTCCATCTCGAGGGACAAGGAGAGCAAAATCGTAGGAACACCGCCACCTGCAAGTTCCCCTACAAGCCACTCACCATCCTGACTTGGAAATATATTGCTGTTCCTTCACTATTGCTGGGTCAAAACCCTGGGATTCCCTCCTTCAGGGCATTGTGGGTCAACCCACAACAGGTGGACTGCAGTGTTTCAAGAAGGCAGTTCACCAGCAGTTTCTCAAGGCCACCTTAGGGATAGGCAATAAACGCTGGCCTGCCAACAACACTCATATCCGACGAATGATTAAAAAAAACAGTGACCTGCTTTAAGGGAACAGAATCTTCAAACAAAACTTATTCAAAGTAAGGTGCAAGCTTTAATGCCTGAAGGCAGTGAGACCGAAAAATTTGGGAGAGAAGACAGAAAACAAGTGCTCCTGTGCGTCAGAAAAGAACAACTTTTAGAAACTGTTAAACTGAGGGATGGTGAAGATGGAACCCTTGTTCAAGGAATGGAAGTGAGGATTGTGGAGTTGAAGACTGAGGAGTCGTCGGGGATATCTTATTACTCAAAATCAATTTGATTATGCTCAGAAAATTGAGTGCAGGGCATTTGTTTAAAAAGACATCAAAACATTCACTCGAGTGAGGTAGAGCTTGAATATCCTGCTAAAGCTGGGCACAGTTCGGTGTTTTTAAATACGTGACTCTATTGAGAGTGTAGTTTAATGCATAAACATAGTGAAGGGTGTACAATAATGTTAAGAAAATAAGGGATATCTTATCTGTATTTTTGTATATTAGTTGCTAAGTAATGTTTAGTCAATGTTGATTTTTGGTTTAATAATAAAAAATTAATAGTTGAAATCCTGTTATGTGACTTGTGTAGGTCACTGGGAAATTTATTTATCTTTTTAAAGGTATCAGCCTGTATGAAGATAGTAACAATAAGTATTAACTAAAAGATAATACTTCCTGCTTTGAATATTACCAGAATATAAACATTGCTAAAAGGAGGTAAGATGTTTACAGAGCTTTAGGAGAAGCCTACACGTGGACAGTCCTGGATTAAGATTTTTTTCATCAGAAGATTGATAGCTGCCTGCTGGGACCATTTTTTTTAGTTCGATTGTTCGGCAAAGTGGTTGATTTTGTTCAAAATTTGTGTTTGATTATTTTGCATGCTTAATATTAATTGTTTGGGTAAAGGAAAGGTAGTTTATTTTATATCTAAAGGCTATTGTAAGCTGCTTCTTTTTCAGCTCAATATCATTGAGGGCATACAAGACACGCAGAGTTAGATGGTTAGTAGATGTAGAGAAGTGATTACACAACAGGATCAGTTAGATAGATGGGTGACTGTCATTGAAAGGTAAGAAGGTAGTTCTCAAGTCTCCTGTGGCTACTTCTCTCTCAAACATATACTCAGTTTTGGATACTGTTGAAAAGGATAGTCTCTCAGAGGAAAATAGAAGAAGCAGTCTGATCTTGGCCAGTAAGAATGAATCTTATGTTAGGGAGGATTTGACAAAATTTAAAAGAATAATTGTTATAGGAGACTTTCCTGCCAAGAGCACAGACAGGAGATTCTGTGGCAGTGACCATGAATCTAGGATAGTATGTTGCTTTCCTGGTGCCAGGATTGAGGACATCTCAAAACGTTTGAAGCATATTGTTAAAGGGGAGAATAAGAAACCAGAAGTTATTGTACTCATTGGTAGGAATGATATAGTTAAGGAAACGATTAAGGCTTTACAGAGTGACTATGAGGTTAGGTAGAGGATTAAAAAAACAGAACCTCAAAAGTAGTCATCTCTGATTTACTCTTGGTGTCAAACTCAAATGAGGGAAAGGATAAAGGAGATAAATCAATGGCTGAAGAGGTGATGTAATGTTCAGGGATTCAGGTTCTTGGATCAATGGGATCTCTCCTGGGACAGAAAAAAACTGTTCAAAAAGAGATCAATATCCTGGTAGGAAGATTTGCTAATTTTATTAAGTGAATCTGTAAACTATTGGGGGGAATGGGGAGGAATCCTAAGTAGCAGAGTAAATAGAAAGATAGACGAAGGTGGTTTTGAATCTGAAAAGAACAAGTTGATTAGAAAAGACAGACAAGAGCAAGTCAGAGAATGAAATCACTCTGAAGAATTAAACTGCATTTATTTCAGTGCAAAGGGTCTTACAGGTAAAGCTGGTGAACTCAGGGCATGTTTGAGAACATGGGATTAGGATATCACAGCTATTACAGAAACTTGGCTAAAGGATGGACAGGACTGGCAGCTCAATGTTCTGAGTGCTATAAGAATGATAGAAAGGCAAACAAGGAGGGGAAGTGACATTAGCGATTAAGGAAAACATTACAGTTGTAACTGGAGAAGATAT